ATTTAGATCGGTAAGCTGTTTCATACCTAATTTTTTTTAAATAACTTAGTACTGAACTCATCTGAATAGGTACATAACTGAATACATCAGAATAATAAACATACACCTACACAAAAAGCATGACTGTAACCTTGTTAACATTTCATTTAAGTAATTTTTTATTAGCTGGGAATCGAACCAGGTATTTGGTTTATTTAATCTGTGAATTAAGTGGCTAAATGGAAACAAGCACAGTGGCCAAATAGTAGGTTAAGTAGATAAGTTAAGTATTTAGACAAGTATTGTAAATAATTAGGTATTGCAGTATTGCCGTATTTGCAATATAGCCCACGGGTTGGATTTAGAATCGTTTGACAGGAATTTGGGGGAGTAAGGTGTTTTATTTGGTAGAGATTTGGTCCCCGATTATAATAATACCACTCACATTAAAAGGTAATGCACCGTTATCGAAAAAATAAATAAAAATTGTTATTAAATAAAATGCGTAAAATATGGAAAAAATACTGTGAAAGCTGGATCAAATAAAGAATTTTGTGTAAGTGCGACAAGGACGTAAGACTATTGTCACATTATTCTACTGTCTATACTCTCTGTCAAGAGATATTTCACTTAAGACAACTGTAATAATAGAGAAAATTTTACAGATTTGAGCTGCGGGCCGCGTGGATTCGGCGTCGATTCCGCGCGACAATAGGGTCAATAACCCTATTGTCAGCTGATTTAAGTTCCACTGCTGGTTTTATGTTTAAGTATTTTTATGTTTTTTTTTTTATAGAATTATCGTTTCATTTTGTTGTACTAAGATGATGGAGCGTGAATAAAACTAATAACACGTTTTGAAAAGATGATTTTTTTTTTCCTCGGGATCAATTTTTTTCCTGCCCATGATCAAAGGTATCGTTAGTACATGGCCTTTCTTTGTTTTCGGGAGCGTTTCAAAAACACCCGGTATATGCTTCTATGGTACATACTTACCGGTACATACTTTGAGACATTACGGCAGTATGAACGTAAACAATGTACTTATGTTTTATTTAATTTAATGTATTATACATAAATTTTAGTTTTCTCCACCTATCCATTTAAACCTAAAGTATAATTGTACTGCTTTAAGTATATACAACATTCATAATATTTATGAGATGTACTGTAATAATGTACTTACCATTATACTTCAATGTTCTAGTACGTAAGTAGATTATAATAATGTCTTCCATACCAAATTTCGGTCACGGCGGCTGGTCCGAAAGGAGATTATCAACGCGAGATAGGATTATGGTGCCCGAGTGCATACTCTTGTAATCCTATGGGACGGTAATCGACACGACCGGAGAGAGATCATGAACAGGACCAACGGCTTAACGTACCATAGTCGGGGCGAAACACCTTCAACTTCCTGACTCCAGGCTGCTACTGAGATTTTATTGTGAGAAAACCCAATAACTGATTTTGGTCATGATCAACAACCGAGTTTACGACCACTAGACGAACGAGGCAGGCAAGTACTAATAAGTAGATTATACTTCAATGCCAAATGTAGTATGAGGTACTTCTGAAGGCCTTCGATGTTAACATATAAATAAAGTTATTTTCTTCTTAATAAAAATAATAACAATTAAGGATCAAATTGAGGATGCTCCTTTTACGCACTTTAAGGATGCACTTTTTGAGAATATTGTATTTTATTGTAAATTAACTATATCGGCATATTTTAAGCTATAATTAAAAGAATAACTTAGTAAAAGAAACACATTTTATTGTAATGTTTTTTTATATCATTTATTTTGTTTTGGCCATGTAAACATGGCTTTTGGCTTTCATAGTTTAATAATGATGTTTTATTATAATTGGTCTTTTTATCTTTAAACTGATTTGTGGTTAATAAAGCAAATAAAACATATTTTATAATCATCATCATCATCAACATCAATATCTAGTTAATGGATTCTCTTTTTTTATAGGATAAGGTGACAAACGAGCACGCAGTCCACCTGATGGTAAGTGGTTGCTGTGGCCCATAGACATCTACATTTATCCTCGTTTGCGAATCAAAATGCAGATGCGTTGTCACCCGTGAGGACTAAGATCGAATGCCTCTTTTCCAGTAAAAAGGGTCTCCGGTTCTCTACACTCACCATACGAAACACAGCAGCGTTAAGCTGCTATTTTACGCTGGTATTCTGTGAGAGCGTGGTCCTTCCCCGGTCGAGCCGACCCATTCGTGCTACAACCATACTACCAATATAGCTGCAGCATGGCTCTACCACGTATAACTCTTACGCTGCTGCCGTATATATATATATATATAACATATAGCCGTGTTGTATAATAACGGCAGCAGCGTAAGTATATATAACATCGAGTGCATATTCGAGACTGACACAAAAGATGGTAAATAATTAAATGCATTTGGCTCACAGTAAAGTTAAAATAATTCACTGACAATATCTTGTACTAAATATTTAAATAACATGGTACCGTAAAACCTGCCATAATTGGCCACATTTTGCACTTAATCAACTTTAAATCAAAAAAACTGTTAGTAAAGTATTAGGTTTTCATATTTGTTTAACACCAGAAACCTCAACTGTTGATGTTAATTCACGGAAATTGCGAAAATTAGGACAGTTTCTTACCTAAAAATATATTTTTTTAGTCGGCCAAAATTACATCAGCTTTCTGTCAACATTAGCCACTGCTTATAACTCTTGAATTATAGTCTCAATGCCGTTTACTTTAAGAACTATGACAGGAAACTGGCTAAAGAAGACGTGTAAAAGGCAATAATCACAAAAAGTTAAATATTTTGGCTTACAGCGAGGTGGCCAAAGGTACCCGAAACTTTTTTTAAATTTCCATACAAAACAGTTTTAGACTCAGGGTTGTCAATTTTTTTAATTAATATATATTGGTTGAGTGTTTTACAAAAAAAAACATGTTTTTAATCAATCGCATTTTATTATATGAGATTTATTTGGTACAATATTAGCATATAAAATATGGCACTTTTACTAAGCAAGTAGACAACAACATAGACTATCAAATTATATCAAGTATTAAATGATTATGAGTAAGTACTTAAATTACTATCACATATTTGTGAGATCAAAATTCTTAAAAAAAGATTCATTTTTCAATTTAGTAATCTCAAGACTACTTAATCATCACGTTGAGGTGAAATTTTAAAATTCTCAAATTTATAAATAAAAATATATATAACAATAGGTACCAAGCTTAGTGTTTATTTAGAACCTAGGTACCTACTGAAAACAAAAAATAATAAATGAAAAACATAGATACTTTAGGAACTTTAGGAAATGAGCGTGTAAATGACACATTCTAGTAAATACCAAAGAAATACAGCAATATACTTTTTGTGATAACACAAGACATAATATCAAATTCTTAAAAGTACACAGAATCCTTATCACACATTAATGCATATTCTTCAGGACTTTCATTGAATTGTAAAAGTTCTATAATTTTAACAATGTTACTTTCTGGTACGGCTATATCTCGATCCAAGAGCTTAGGTTTAATAAATTTAATATCATCTGAATCCTTTGTTTTTATGCATTTGTAATAAGATATATTAAAAGTTTTGGAATTGTCATTAACACTTTCAATTAATCCTACATAGTACTTCCAGTTATTTGACTGATAGTATCTTACCAACACTTTTTCTCCTAATTCATAATACTCTTTTTTCTTTGAATTCTTGTCAATTTGATGTATATCTTCTCTTATTATTTGTTTATCCATATTTATAGATTCATCAATATTTGTAGACTCTTCCATACTTATTTCAAAATTTGAAACATCACTAAGTGCTTCAATTATGTCAGAATCACTATGGGTGCTAATGCAATCTTCCTCAGTAGTTGTAGAACTATCTAGAGATTTTCTTGGTCTCTTAACTGGTTTTACGTTTTCCTTTTTGACGGTTTTTCTCAAACGACGTTTTTTCTTCCTTTTTTTACTGTTAGTTTTCTCTCTGCTATTTGCAGAACAACTCACAATATCCCTAATATCCTCATTATCGTCACTACTTAAAACACCATGAACGTTAATATTAAAAGCAATATTATCTATTTTTCTTACCTTACCACCCGAATTTTCAGTATGTGGTTTTTCTATGATAATATTGCGTTCTGAAGGAAAAGTTTGTGATAAAATGTTGAAGCTTGTATCAATTTCTTTAAAGTATTTAGTTTTAGTTTTTGCAATAGGCTTAGTCTTATATTTTGGTAAAATGATGTCGGATAGAATATTTATCTTTTTGGGCTTGTCTTGGTCTTTTATCGAAATCACGGGTAAATCAGTTTCAAATACTAAATCAGTGTTTTTTGTGGCTTCCATGAGACCCGTTTTTTCGTTTAAAATATAACTAATGTCATAATTGTAATTTTTATTAAAATTCTCGAGTGAGGCAGCAGTATCTACCTTCGTGAGTGTCGTAGTATTCTTGGATGACTTGACTTTGCCTCGTACATTCGATTTTGAGAGTTGGGAAGTCAGCAGTAAATCATCGACTGTTACTGATTTTCCAGGTACAGTCATAACTTTCTTGTTTCTTTTTGTTATCATAGGATTTGGCTGCCTGATTTGCTTTAAGTAGTCTAGCAATGCATTGTCAATCCCATATGATGCCACATCTTCTTGATACTCTGGTACACGCTTCAGTACTTCTCTTGGGTTGAATGGGTAGATCCCAGTTGCTCTGAATCCGCTTTTGATATTTTTAGATGAATATATTTCAACTTGATCAACTAAAGAATGTAAAAGTTTTGGGAATTGATTCTTATTCAGAGTAGTTTGGTTGGGATTTTCCATTTTGTACTTGAGTATTATTGCTCGCCACACTTTTTTAAGTGGTGCAAAAAAAAAGCAACGTCAAAGGGTTGTGTTATCCCCCGCTGACGCAGAGTCTCCGGCCTCAGCTCGTGGAGGACGTGGTGAGCGCTCTGTTTCCTGCGCGAGGGGAACATCCACCCCCGCCTATGGCTCCGCCACCTGCGGTGCCGGAAGCGGACCACCAGGACGACGACGACGGCATCCCGGAAGGGACCGGGGTAGACCTGAGAGTGGAGGTACGTAGGCTCAAGGCCAGGAATACCGCCCCAGGACCCGATGGCTTGCCTGGCAAAGCCTGGGTCCTGGCCTCGGAGGCTCTCGGGCCCCGACTGGAGAGGCTCCTAAGCGCATGCTTGGAGAGAGGCCAATTCCCGCTTCGTTGGAAGACGGGGAAGCTGGTCCTCATTCGGAAGCCGGGGCGCCCTGCGGACTCTCCGTCCGCATACCGGCCCGTGGTGCTGCTCGACGAGGTGGGCAAGCTCTTTGAAAGAGTCATTGCAAACCGCCTCGCCGAGCACCTTGCGGGGACGGGGCCGGATCTTGCGGAACACCAGTTTGGTTTCCGCAAGAGGCGCTCTACGGTGGACGCCATCATGCGCGTGAAAGCCCTCACGACGGGGGATGCAGTGGCCAGGGGGGGGGTTGTTTTGGCGGTGTCTCTCGACATCGCCAAGGCCTTCAACTCCATGCCCTGGAGCTGCATTAGGGAGGCACTCCGGTAACACCGGGTGCCGACCTATCTCCGTCGTATAGTCGGGGACTATCTGACGGATAGGGCCGTCATCTACCCCGGTCGCAACGGTGAGTGGAACCGGCGAGAGATGTCGTGCGGTGTCCCACAGGGTTCGGTTCTGGGGCCGCCCCTGTGGAACATCGGTTACGACTGGGTGCTGCGCGCCGACCTCCCTACCGGCGTCAGCGTAGTTTGCTACGCTGACGACACGCTGGTACTGGCACAGGGGGGGTCATACGAGGCGGCGGCGGAAACTATGACACGCGGGGTTGCGATAGTCGTTGAGAGGATCCGGCATCTGGGTCTTGAGGTGGCTCTGCACAAGTCCGAGGCCATGCACTTCCATGGTCCTCGGAACAGGCCACCACCGGGATCCTCAGCGATGGTAGGAGGGGTATCCATCGGCGTCGAGTCGACGTTGAAGTACCTAGGACTCGTCCTCGACGGCCGATGGAACTTCGTTGAGCACTTCCGACGTTTGGCTCCCAAACTGGAACGGACCGGGGCTGCCTTCAGGCGGCTCCTGCCGAACTTGGGGGGGCCAAACGCCTCCTGCCGGAGGCTCTACGCGGGGATTGTGCGGTCCATGGCCCTCTACGGGGCCCCGGTGTGGGCGCGTGGTTTGGCGCGGCTTGCCGTCCACCACCTGAACGCGCCCCAAAAGGTGGTTGGCGTGAGAATGGTTCGCGGCTACCGCACGATCTCCCGCGAGGCAGCGTGCCTCCTTGCCGGATTGCCGCCATGGGATCTGGAGGCGATAGTCCTCGCGCGCCTGCACGAATGGCGCGCGGAGGCACTATGCCGGGGGGAAACCCCGCTGCCGCGGCAAGTTGTCGTGCAGCGGACAGACTTCCGGCATGATCTCATGGCGACATGGAGAGAGCGACTGTCGCAACCCCGTGCTGGGCACGCCACTATAGCGGCGATAAGACCCCTCTTTGAGGAGTGGCTTGAGAGACGCCACGGCGTCCTCACCTTCCGCCTGACGCAGGTCCTCACCGGACACGGTGTGTTTGGGAGGTTCCTGCACCGAATCGGGCGGGAGGAAACGCCCGGGTGCTCCCACTGCGAGGATCGACCGGAGGACACGGTGGAGCACACCGTGGAGGTGTGCCCTGCCTGGGCGGAGCACCGCCGTGTCCTCGTAGCGGCGATAGGCGGCGGCGACCTCTCGCGTCCGGCCCTGGTCGAAGCCATGGTCCGGAGCGAGACGGAATGGGATGCCGTCACCACCTTCTGCGAAGCAGTGATGCTAGCGAAGGAGGTGGCGGAGCGGGAGAAGGAGAGAGCAGCAGCTTTCCTTCCCGGCCGCCGCGGGAGACGCCCCGGGCGTCGGGGGCTACGTCGTGGCCCCCGGCCACCATAGGCGCGGGCCTGTGGACGGCGAGCAATGGGTAGCTCGCCGTCCGTCCGTCTAACGAAGACAGGCCGTGTCGACGGCGCGTTTTGTTCCACGCGCGCCTCAAAGAGCTGTCAGCAGCGTGAAGGGGCCCGCAAGGGCCGACGCCTGCCGGGGCTGCGGGCTGTTCGAAAGAGATACCGCGGCTCCGGAACGTAAGGGCACTGAAGGAACACGGATGGTTTTTAGTCAGTAAAAGTCTGACACTCCCTTCCGCTCCACCCAGAGCGAAAGGCGTCATTTGATGATTTTCCATCCGCAAAAAAAAAAAAAAAAAAAGGGGTTGTGTTATGTGTGTCGAGCTAGATGGAATGAAAACAAACTGAATATTGTGACACTCACATAATTCGATAACACTCACATTTAAGTGGCTTGATAAATTATCGCATATAACGACTTTTTACTAGGTAAAGACTGCCCAATCCATAATAATTGTGTTAAAGTAATCTTCAAAAACAAAAGAATCAAACCACCCAGATCTTGTGCAGTTATACCTAGTACCACGCGGTCCGCCCTGTATCCATTCAGAATATAAATTCTCTGCCTTATAGACAACGTAAATAGGTAGCAAGCTCCCGTTCGCTGTAACTGAGAACATCAGCGAAATGGCTCCTTTAGTTGAATTGAGCACTCGCTCGGGATATTTTACTCCTCGCCTAAATATACATTTTGAAGATCCTGGATCATCTGTTAAATTTGTTTCGTCAAAATTGAGTATATTTGATGGAGCAACATCTTTCAAAGTCTCTTCTAAATTTCTAAAATATTCCATGAACTCATCAACCCCTTTCTCAGCTCTATTTTTTTTAATATTCTGCGTGCTACGAACTGACAAATCTAATGAATGTCTTGACAAAAAATTATCAAGCCATGCTTTTCCAGGAGGTCCTCCGTTAAATACATCCTCGCGGCCATTCTTTTTCAAGTATTCAAACACGACGAGGCGAAGATCCAATTTACTAAGTGGGCATCCGAATTCCCCAGCAATTAAAACTTTAATAAATTTGGCTTCTTCGTCATCAGATAATCGCGTTGGACATCCGACAGACTTTGTATGAGACTTGTTTACTTTATTTAATATTGTCTGTTTAGGAATTGCGAATTGTCGCGCCGCCTCTCTTGCTGATATCTGTTTTTTTCTAACAAGATCTACAGCTATTTCAAGCATTTCATTTGAATAATTTTTATATTGCCGGGCACCAAGGCGTCTGCGACTTTTTCTTGCTTTTTTTCTTGATTTTGGCTTAGATGTATCCATTCTGTAAATATATATGGACATAAATAATAAGCAAATATACATATTTTAAACTGTATTCTAGGTATTATACCAAAACTAATTGTAAAACTAAGTTATAAGCAAAAAGTACCATCAACTCATGAGTAGGTAGGTACCGAATTCTAAAATTATCAGTGGGCAGCCCTAGTATTGTTTTTCTGTGGCCAAAGTTAACGGCACATGTTTGCTACAAGTGATTGTAACATTGGCCATTTGAATTACTGATTAATAGAGGATTCATATTGATTTGAGATGTATACCATATTAAAACCAAGATTTCACTTAATAACATATCAAAAATTCCACTCACCTGGATCATTTTTCAAGCGCGAAAAAGCTTTATACTCGAGGAACAATTTGGGACCACCGGCAGAGACTCCTATTTGACAACTGTTGACAGCCAACTGAGTGAATGCTACATATATATTTATCTATGGAGTGAACTTAGTAACCGAACGTATGATTGGTATTGCCAGAAATATATTCTATTTTCCATAATATGTTGTAAAATGTTGCTATATGAGATATATTTTTTACTACAGCAAATTTTTGTTATTTTTGTCAAGTGGCCAATGTTAGAATTAAAAACCAAAGTTGGCGGGTTTTACGGTATATGCGCAATGTACTTTTAATTAAAATAATGTTACTTATTAAAAATGAAATTACACAAGTTGCTCTAAAATAAGAACCTAACTTATTTAGATCAAGTTATGAGACTAATAAGATATAATAACGGTAGGTACAGCTTACTACTGCACTTTCCATTTCAAAATTTGATTTATTTAAAAGTACAATAAAAGAGAATTTACACTAGTACATAATTAAAATATAACAATTAAACAAGTGGTAAAATTAAAAATTTTGTACAACCGACTTCAATACAAATAAAATGAAAACATCATCAATGTATTCGAAGTTAATTAAATACGCATTAGTAAGGATAATTCGAAAACTACTGGTCAGATCTTGATCAAATTTACATGGGACCAAATGAGAAGCACCAGCTTGCAAATAAAAAAAATCATTAAAATTGGTTAACCTAGAAAAAAGTTTTAATGTAATACACATTAAAAATACAGTCGAGTTGAGTACCGCTACCTTTTTATAAGTCTGTTGAAAATATATCGACGCGCGGTGGTAGCTCAGGGGCTAAGTACTGGCCGTAAATTCCACAGTACGCAAGCATTTATGGTGCGATTTCCTCCGGCACTAATGAAATGCTCGGCGGCGAAAGAAAACATCGTGAGACATTTTGAAGATAGTATGACAGAAATAAATAGCATATTTTTTGGCATATGTTTTGGCTCGGCGCTTACTTAGAGGTCAGACAACACAGAGTCTATTCACCTAAGGATGTCTCGTTTAGAGGCGAAACACTAGTCGTTTCTACGACGGTGATGTATTTCTTACTGTAGTGGTGTTGGGAGCAGTGGTGTTTGGACTAGTAGTAACGGGGATAGTACACGCAATTGCAGAAGGGCGGGATATGCTCTTCAAACTAATTATCTTTATTTTATTAAGCGGATTTTAGCTAATTAATGTGTAACATCTTTAATATAAGAAAAAAATTTATGGAGTTTTGCAAAGTAACGCCTGATTCCATTAATTAACTTAAAAATTCAATAAATTTAAATCGCGCACTCCTACCGATTGTGGATGGCGTCTGACTCTGAGGTCTAAGCACGTTCCGTTATACAGGGTTTTCATAGAGAAGCCAAATTTTAAACTTAAGCACAAATATATAAATAATGATATACCGTTATTGCATTTTTGAAAATACCAGTAAATAAGGCTTCAAGTTTTTAAATTATTCCAAATTTAATGTGATTTATGGACAACAAATGCGCGCACGCACGCTCCTTTGTGTGCAATTCAATTCACAAAGTTTTTGCCGACCGATCGACCGTTAGATTTTTATGAATGACAAACAGTATCATTAGTTGAGAACCGGAGATCCTTTTTACTGGAAACGAGGCATTATTTAGTCCTCAGGGGTGACAATGCGTCTCTGTTTTAATTTTTAATATGTCATTAATATTATGAATGACATATTGAACGTAGGTTTCATATTAGAATCAGGCATTAATTGGCGGAAATCTGATATATTAAAGATGTTAACAATGTAATTAGCTAAGATCCGCTTAAAAATTAAAATGGTGTGTCTTGTCTTACCCTGGCTTGAAATCACCTCTCGAAATCTATCTATCACCGTCACCACTTATCTCAACACAACTAAAATAGGAAAGATACGTCGATAATACGACACGACACATGTTTCGTCTCTAAACGAGGCATCATTAGGAAAAATCCTAAG